GTTTTGATTTATTACATAAACCTATGAGTGTGAAGAGATGTTTTTATAAAAACTAGATTGAGTTGCTTTAAAAAGTTGCTGTTAAATTAGATACAGGTGAAAACTCTAACAAAAGATTGGAGAAAATAAGTATCTTGAATTCTAAAGTCAAATTCCTTCACAATGTCTAAATTCTTTATCCATTTTCAAGGAAGCCGAAACTGAAAACCATAGACAACGCACGTGATTACTGTAAAGAAAAGCCCTTGCCTCTCCAAACTAATTTTTCTCAATTTTAGTTTCTTAAGTGGATGGACGTACAACTTAGGTAAGCGTATCTTTTTTCATCCGTTAACTGACTTTTCGATGAACTGTCCAACGACCTGTTCCGGCCCTATGCAGGAGCCTCCTTCTGTGTAAGTTCCTACCAGGATCACCGGCAGACAGGAGCCAGTGCTTTTGAACCCGCACTCCCCCCGACCCCAACATCTGGCTAGGCGAGCTTGCAGGAGCCCCACACATTTCCTTGCGGGGAGAGGGTGTCTTGGGCATTTCTTTTCAATAGAGCAAATAACATTTTCCCTGAGAAAGGCCATTTTAAATTTCTCTGTTTCCATTCAAGGGAAACAGAAAGAAGAGTCCTTTGGCCTCCACTCACCTGCAGCAGCTCCAACGACCTCGCAATCCCATTCTTCCATCCGACGCAGCAGGTCCTCCTGAAAGTTAAGAGCACATCGCTCGCCACCCTTCATCCTAGTACAAGTAGCCCAGAACAGAAGAGGGAGCTGGGTCACCACCATCTAAAGGTTCCATCCTAACTGATAAAAAGGTGAAGATGTATTCCTATGTAGGCAATCTTGAAACATGAAAATGTTTACAAAAATTTGGAAGAGGTGAAAGGTACACTTTACAGATGGACTCATTATGCTTTGGAAGTGGATTTATAACGGTACGACTTCATATGAGGTCCAGGCAGCTTCTCTGTCCCACGGAGCCGCCCAGAGAAGTCGAGGGCCTCAAAGGATCCACGTGCTGGGCTGGAGAGGGTGGAAGATGGGAGCCATCGCCCTGGTGCTCAAGGAAAGGCACCAGGCTGTTCATCTTTTTCCTCGGCTCTTCCTCCCAGCAGGCGAAGTCCAGCAGAAAGGAACTGCGTTCTCTGCATCTTTACGCCGAGGAAGGACCATTCTAACGGAGGCCAACGCGCAGCACAGACTGGGCACAGGTACTGGACGGCAACAGGCAACGACGGTTAAAATCCCTGCTGTGCCATTCTGCCTCCTGTCCCAGGTACACGGCCTCGACAGTCCACCCCAGTCTGTGTCACGTGGCAGGAACCCCAGGTGGGGCCGAGCCCAGAAAAATAGCCACAGGCACCAAGGCCTGGTGCAAGCCAAAAGCGTGTCTCCATCTGAGAGGGCGGTGAGACTGAAGGAGCGGCGGGGTCCCCTGGTGAGAGCCCAACCAGAGGGACAGGGGAGCCGGGCTTCAGCCCTCCCGGAGACACCCACCCTGTCTGCAGGCTCACCCCTGCCCAGAGACCCATGCTTCCACCGAAGACCCCAAGTCTCATGAACACCTCTGCCTCTCGTTACTAGAGCGTGCAGGCAGAACAAAGCGGGTTTCTACCAACTGCCACAACCTCAGGTGGCATCCCTGGCTTCAGATTCATCTGAGAGGGGGGTGAACGAGCCCCTCCTCCCAGGACGCTGAAGCGAAGCGGTGAAGAAGCCGAGGCCTGCCTTCTACAGCGCGTCCAAACCCCAGCCTTCCTGCGGGACAGAGGCGACACGCAGGCAAGCCCTTTGCGCTCGGTGAGAAATCCTACAGCCCGATTTGGGAGGAAAAACACACACAGCAGTCACGGCACTGAGGTGGGGGCACTGGATTCTTTCTTCACCCACGTGCCCTCCTGGCTTAGGCTCCAATCTCACTCAGCCCTTTCTTCCTCACACCTCGCGCAGCTGCAAGACCCGGGACGGAACAGCGTCAGCTTGCGTGTGTTACCGTCTCGCGCGTGTTGCCTCATGCATCCACGAGGGTACAGGTCAGCCTCACAGCTCACACGCACAAGCACGCTTTGTAGATAACACACCCACTCCGGGGTCTCGGTGGGTCCCTCGCAGAAGGCGTCCATCGGGGGTCCGTGTTTCCACGTCGTGCTGGCGTGCAGGTAGGACGGAGGCTCCAGGAGAGCCGTCGTCATTCACTAGCAGGATAACTGTTGGCACGTGACAGGCCTTTAACTTCAGTATCGATGTGTGTAACAGGCCCCACCTGGGTGGGAGGTGGTTTACATACACACACTCCTGCCCACCCCTCCCCGACCCGGGGCAGAGACTCTTCAGCACGAGGGCGCTGCTGCCAGGGGCTGTGAACAACCCTCCAGGAGAAGAAAAGCTCATGGGGCAGGGGAGGCGCACAGATGGGCAGAAGCTCCCTCCCTACAGGCAAAGGCTCTACTCCAGGAGCAAAGTCCCCTTTAACCTTACGTTCTCCACGCAACTGGGAGAGTCAGCATCGTGCCCCACTGTCGGAGAGTCTAAGAGTCGGGGTGCTTAAAAAGGCCAGAAGCCAGCAGAGATCGGCGCTACGTCGTGAATCAACTACGCGTCAACGAAACATCCAAGGCCCAGAGCCCTGCCCCTCCCGACGGGGCTCCGGAGACCGGCCCCAGAAGCCCGCAGACGAGGAGGAATAGGCAACTCCGGGAGAACCGCAGACGATTCAAAGCCATTCTTAAAAGAGATTTAATTATCTGAATTGCATAAAAGGGGGCAGTACACATTTAAATCTCTCTACATCACAAACCGCTGTTTTGTCGTTTTATTAAAGACCCACTGTTTCTCCCCATCTTCAGGTTTATGGCTATAGAATGCAGGGAAAACAGGTATTATTAGCAACAGGATAGCAAACAGCAAGCAAGAGTCTGTTCACCAGAATGTCTTCTCCGCCGCAGAACAGAGTCCTTTAAAAAGAAAAGGCAGGGAAAGGCTGTGAGCCATCCATGACCAGTAACAACAGCGAGAGAGAGAGAGAGAGAGAGAGAGAGAGAGAGAGAGAGAGAGAGAGAGAGAGAGAGAGAGAGAGAGAGAGAGAGAGAGAGAGAGAGAGAGAGAGAGAGAGAGAGAGAGAGAGAGAGAGAGAGAGAGAGAGAGAGAGAGAGAGAGAGAGAGAGAGAGAGCGAGGAAAGTGAGAGGGCAGAAGAGCCTGGGTGTTCAGGAAGTGTCTCCTCGACCCACACCCTCCTAGCTCTCTGAGGGCGCACTCTCCTTACTTCTCCCCTTCTGACATCTCAACCCTAAACCAAGTTTCCCTGTCAATTCAAATATAATAAAGACATCATTCCCACAAGGAGGGCCGATCTGAGGATTGGAATGATTTGCCAACATTCTGAGAAAGCTTACTTAAAAATAGCATGGCTTTAAAGACAGGTTCTATTCCTTGAAGACGGGAGGAAAGGGGGGGGTCTTTGTGAGTGGGGATTGGAGGCATATGGCCCACTGAACAGAGCAGGATACAAAGGAATCCCCTAATGTCTGCAGGCTACCAGCCACCGCTACTGTAGCCTGGCTGGGCAGAGGCAAAAGCAAGCAACCCCTCCGCTCTTCAAAGCCCACAGGTGGAGGGGCAGAAGCAGATGTAGGCTAATGGCTCTAAATAACCAGCACTTAGTGTTATATTAGGACCAAGGATTTATTCCACAATATAAACTGCAACATTTGATACAAGCTACCAAAAAAACAGGCGAGGAGGGAAGGAGCAAGGAGAAAGCCAAAATACAGCTGTGGCAGGTACTTACAAAGCAGCCTCTTTTCTATGTCACTAGGTCACCAGTGACACTAGAAACTATAGACGTTTGCGTTCTGACATCAACCAGATGCTAAAGCACCAACACACTGTTTGGAAGTTTGTTTTGTTTTAATTCCAGCCACTGAAACCAACATGGAAGTTATTGCTTAGATAAATAAACCTAGTCTACCAGGAAAAAAGAAAAGTGGATAAAAGAAACAAACAAAACCCCCAAAAGTGAAAACTTAAGCTCCCCAATATGGTAACAGAGTAAAGAAGAGAGAAATCCCTCAAATGAGGATTTACTGGAATTTCTGGTGCTCTTCTGGGCACTGAAACTGAGTTGGACTCTTAAGCCGGTAAATCCCAGAAAGAGGTAAGATTTTAATGCTGTACATGAAAAGGTGCAAGCTCCAATCCTTCCACATTGGTGGGAACCCCTGCAAAAAACAGTCAGCATTTCAAACCTCAACAATCACAAATGGCTCTTAAGGAAAAAAATACAAAAAGTGTCAAAAAATTTTTTTAGTCGTTTTTTTCTTTTTTTCAAAGAGTTCTGGAAAAATGATCCCGTAAGGAATAGAAATAGCACCGTTCACAGGCTGGTTTGAGTGCCAGGCCTGCAGCTTTGCTGCGACCCTGGAGGAGTCCTCTGGCCGGGTCCTGAGTTACAGTCAGGGTCCGTTGCTCTAGCTCCGGCCTGGCGCGCCCGGCGCCGCACAGCACGCGCACACGTAGTCCTCCTCCTCGGCCGTCTCGGGACAGACGCCAACACAGACCTGATGGAACCACCGATTGCAGCTGCCATCACACTGGACCCAGTCCACCTGGTTACAGAGAGCAGGGAGACGGGGTTTTCAGGGGGAGAACAGGCCCGACAGACACCGGGCAGGCAACTGCCCCAGCACTGGGACCTCGGGCACAGCAGCCCAAGCGACCGAGTCAAAGCCAGTCTTCAAGTGGTGACTGCTCTGGGGCTAAGACAGCGCCGCCCTGTGACAAGGAAGCAAAGGGCGTGGCAGCAGCATCCCTCCCACCTTCTTAGCGCTGGGCGGTGAAAGCTGGAGGAGCAGGAAAAGGAAAAAGGGCAGAGGAAGAGTTTCTTCAAGAAAAGGGAGAAGACCCAGGAGCGATGTGAGAGCAGAGGTACCAGTGGGGGAGGGTGAGCAATCCACTCAGATGGGCTCAAGGCAGGTAAGCAGGAGAGACCCGGCCAGGCGAGCTGCAGCTTACAGGGTTTCTGAGTTAAGGGAACGCACGTCCTCCGCGGCCCAAACCTCACTGACCTCGTCTCCCTCCGGCTGCAGGCAGCTCACGGCCGGGCAGACGGCGTCCTCGTCCCCAGAGTCCTCGTGCTCCGAGCAGGACGCGTCTGCAGGCAGGGACTGAGTGTCGGCAGAAGGGACCAGCTCATGGCCGCGCGCCCGCTCTAACTTGAAACCGTCCGTGTCCTTGCGGTGGCTCAGTTTGATCCTCTTCTTTTTAGGGGTCCGCGTTTTGGCGACTCGATCCCACCGCTCACTGGAGAGACCTTCTCTTTCCAGGCGTCTCTTCAGTTTGCTCTCGAGGCCGCCGACTCCGTCTCGCTTCCCACGGCAGCCGTCACTCTGGGTGGAAGACGGCAAACTCCATTCAGCCCCTCGCCAAAACCAGCGATGCCAAGAACTGGCTGCACGAGAAGCGGGTGCTCCCCATAGACACCGACACGTGCTGCACGCCCCCCACTCCCCTTCACATCCTACAGGACCACCTAATTTCACTGTTTAGTCTACCAAAGCAACACTGGAAAACAGAAATGTCACAGACACAATTCGTTTCAAATTAGCCAACCAGCTCCGGGAGAGGGGAGATGCCACATTCTTTTGGCCAAACCCACGAGGAAGTGCCTGACGTCCACAGAGTGTTTTCTATCTAGGTGTTAACCCACAGACAGCTAAGGAACCAAGGCAAATGCCTTGCTTCTTTATGCACATCTCCACCCCTTATAGGAGGAAGGTGCATTAAGTGAACACCGCTGGTAACAGTGCTACACTACTTGGTGTCATAATGAAAAACAAATCCTAAATGCCAGCGTCTGCCCTCATGCTGTTTTTGGTGAGATTCCTCCCTCTCTGACTACATTCTCAGGGGCCTTAAATGCTACAGGTCAGCAAGTTCACTCACAGGAAGCAGCAGCAGCATCTTACGCTGCTAAGAAACAGGACATTATTAGGTATCCCCTTCAAGTAAGTCAGCACTCAAAACGGGCACCCTTGGGACTTCCCTGGCAGTCCAGTGGTTAAGACTCCTTGCTTCCACCGCAGGGGGCATGGGTTCAATCCCTAGTCGGAGAACTAAAGATCCCCTGTGCCGTGCGGTGTGGCCAAAAAATACCCAAAAAACAAACAAACAAAAAAAGGGTACCCTTGGTCTAGTCACCTGGTCCTCACACCAGCTGTTGGGTTTGGTTTAGAAGAATTACAGCATTTGTTACATGTTGACTCCAAGAATGAAGGCTTTATCCCAAAGGCCTTTCCAGCTATAATTACATTTTCATCTCTACAGTAATTCTCTTACTGAGGAAAAATAATCCTGCTTCTAGCTATTATCACATGGAAATGATGAGAAGCACACCTTGCTAAAAAGAAAAAACGATTTCACACAGTGGCTTAAAAACCAGCATCAAACTCCAGGTTGTGAGCCCAAAGTGCTCAGTGACAGCCGTTGGAACAGGGCTGTGGGGTAAGTGGTCTGCATCCTTTCCTGGACCAAAGACAGCATCTTGTCCCCAAGCTACTGAAGGATGATGACACTCCAAAGCACGCTGCCGCCCAGACCCCGACGCCCACCTTCTCACTGCTGGGTCTCACTGGAGAGCTGCGGTCAGCTTGCTGTGCAGGGCTGGGCTTTGCGAGTAGCGTCTGGTAGAGCTCCTGAATTTCAGGAAGGGACACCTGGAGCAGCTGGGCCTCCATCAACAGCTCACTCACTTCTGGGCTTAGACCTGTCGGAGAGAAGACCAGATCACGGTGACACACACCTGAGACATGAGTGGAGGAAGACCACCGCTCCCATTACCACCCTTTCCCTTCAAGTGAGGTTCACTCCACAGGCCCAGAGCCACAGCATAGCAGGCCCAAACTGGACTGTGTAAGTCTATCAGTGACTAGGAGGAGGACTGCTGATGCAGGAGGGAGATACCTCTGCTTTCACAGAAGCACAGAAGAGCCAGGGCCTGGGCACTCTGAGTGGGCCCAAGGTTCCAGGCACAACTCATGGGGGAGAGTCGCCCTCAGGGAAGGACAGGAGGAAGGAGGCAGGGTCTCTAGAGCCCCCTCAAGTCTCCTAAGTAATGAAGCAACAAGGGAACCCATGACTTAGCATCTGATGACCACGATGCTTGGTGTTTAATTATCAGTTGGCATGGGACGAACTCTTTCATCCCTGGAAGCAACGGATATAAAGGCTTCCTTTCTGCTTCTTTTGCATTTATGAGCCTTTAACTACGATTCTTCTCCTACCTTGCAAATACATAGTAATCCACATCCTACATATGAGGATAACATCCTTTTTAATGGGTCCTGGCTTATCTGCAACAAAAACCTACGGCACCATCACTTTTTACTATTCAGCCCTCAAAATCATAACAATAATAACGGTGATGATAATAATAAGTACAGACCATGGAGGGGGATACAGCTCCGTCCAGCAGAGAAGGGAGAGTGTAAATATGAGGTTCTGCCGTCCCAGGCACCGGGCAAGAAGGACATGGAGGCAGGAGGCTGAGACAGCTGGCGGAAGGAGAACATCGCACAGTGAGGCTTCTCCAGGGCTGAAGCCACTCCCACCACCCCAGGGGAAACAGCCTGGGTTGTCAGGCAGCGACCAGCAAAGAGGAAGGCCTGACTTTCCCAAACTGAAAGATCCCCTGGCATCTCAGATCTGGCCAAACCAACTCATATCCACCAAGCCTTTGGTCTTCCTGGCTGTACCTGGACTGACTGCAGAGCTGAAGAGCACCACTGGGAAATAAGTCATCTTCTCTGCGTGGCAACAGATCACACAGCCTTTTAACCTCTAGGTAATCCTCCTTCTGAAGATTATAACCCCACTGACACAGACGTGTACCCTCCCTGGGTAAACCAACTGAGGAACTGCCAGATAGCATTCATACCCACGTCCCCACCTTCACCAGAGCTTATGAGAGGAAATGGGAGAAACAGTCCTTTGACCACAAATGAGTAAGTAAATAACAGCTGTGCCTTTCCCTTTTATTAACATAGGTGAACTCCTAGCACATCGTGTGTAAGGAACACAAATGTCTCCAACGTAGGCTGCCCAAATACCCACAACTCAACTATGAGACAGAAATGTAACACATCATTTGCTAAGTGCCAGGCACTGTATTTCAGAAGCCTGGGGAGAACTTAAAAAGACAAGGAAACAAATACAACAGAGACCAATCTGTCCTCGTCCCTAATCTGTATGACCTTCAACTCCTACACTTCACACATCTCTGCTCGTGCAGCACAAGGGACGCGTAGTAGCTGCAAGAGAATCTGCCAGACTTGGAAGTCACCAGGTTAACATTATGAGAGGCCTGAGTACTCCCTGCCTGGCTGCACCCCTGTCTCCCACGGAAAAAGACAGAAGCCCGGCCGTCCCAGTGACGCTCAGGGGAATCTGGCTTTGGCAGAAAGACCACAGATGGTATGAAACCCACCGCCTCTGCTCTGAAGCAACTACTAGCACTCAAGACACCTCAAAAGCTCTTCTTCCTCAAAAGGCAACCAGACAGGAGGAGGCACTTTCCCTTTCTCCTCGGTGACTTACACGAGAGGAAGCAGGAAAAAAACAGCCAAGCAAAGAATTTTAAAACACATGTATATTAAAAATACATCTGGGGCTTCCCTGGTGGCGCAGCGGTTGAGAGTCCGCCTGCCGATGCAGGGGACAGGGGTTCGTGCCCTGGTCTGGGAAGATCCCACGTGCCGCGGAGCGGCTGGGCCCATAAGCCGTGGCCACTGAGCCTGCGCGTCTGGAGCCTGTGCTCCGCAATGGGAGAGGCCACAACAGAGGCCCGCGTACCGCAAAAAACAAACAAACAAACATCCGGTTCACACACATCAATGGAAAAATCACACGCACATATGAAGAGGTGAAATCTGCTCCACAGGAAGCGTGCCTGGCTTTCGGGAGCAGAGGGAACTGAGGCAACGTGGCAGGTGCGCGCAACCGTCAAAGGTAAAGCGGGCGCTGGTACCGGTGGCACCACCAGAGCTACCGGCTCCGGAAGAAGGCACAGAGCTGAGTCCGATAACCAGCGAAGGAGCGTTGCGGCTCACCTTGCTTGCCTCTGGCGCCTGTCCTGCTGCGGCCTGCCGTCTGCCACATAACAGTCCTGAGCCCGCCCGCTCCTGCGTGGGCTGGAGGTTACCTGACGAGAGCAGCTGTCGGGCTCTGTGCTGCCAGTTCACGGTTCTTTCAATCATATACCGCAGCGCATCTCCCTCGGGAAGGCGAACTCGGATACGCTGGAGGGAGGCCAGCAGGGGCAGAATTTTCTCTAATGGAGGTTTCTCTGACCTCCGACAATGGGGACACAGCCAGATCCGGGGGCCCTGCACAATACTGGGTACTGCCACACAGCCGGTGTGGAAAGCATCCCTGCAGAGTTCACACTGGATCATGGGGGCGGCTGGGGCCTTCTGGCACAGGCAGACCTTCATCTCCACATCCTGGACTGGCGACAGCAATTTCCCCTCATTGGCTTGTCTGAGAGACTGTAAGGCTTCCATTTCTCGTAAGCGGGCTTCCCCAAGCGTTGCCATCTAGAAAGGAGAAAACAATCAGGGACAGTGTCACAGAGAACTCAGCCTTCTCCTAAAACTAGGGTCCTGGTGGCTAAGAACACCAGGCTCCAGAGTAGACTCTGCCTGCCTCACTAACTCAGGTGGGCAACAACACCCCACTGTGGCTAAAATTTCCACACGTATAGAGTCATTAACAGTGCCCACCTCACAGGGCCACCACAACGATGACATGGGGCTGTGTGACAGACGCTCTGACTGGCACCCAGCAAACCCTCAGTGTGAGCAGCTACCTAACACACACCATTCTTCAAAGTCCAACTTCCTCACACATTTCTCTCTTAGAAAATGTACCTCTCTTGAAAGATATAGGCTTTTCACAGTCTAGGTGTACTAATTTCTGAGGTTTTCGATTTGTTTTCAGTTCCACTAACTTTTGAGTTCTTCCAGAAAGGCACTTTAGATGAGAAAGTCTGTTAAACAGCCGTAGTAACCTGTCTCTCTTACTGCCTTTAACATTAGGCCTTACGTATGTGCTGGACACCGGAACTGTGCACAGTGAAGCTGGGTCCCTCACGAAAGAATCAAACAGAACCACTGCACCAGACTTCCCTCACACATACACACACACACACACTCACATGCTGTAAGATCATTAGGGCAGAGACAAAAGCAAGCCGCTTTTCTGCAGAAAGTGGCAAGTATACTCATTGTAAAGTCTTTTCTCTCTATTAAAACGAGAGCCATGTCTCAGCAAAGTTCTGAGTTCAGTTAATCTGTATAAGCGACTTGAAAACACAAACATAATCAGCTTCACAACAAAAAGCTGAAGTGACCCTGAACATGTTTCCGACCATACAAGGGACTTCTACGTGAATAGACCAGGCGCCCACTACATAAACCAGTCCAGGCATTACAGATTTATTCACCTCGCACCATGGAGTATGAGCTGCCTAAGGGTGACCAACTGAAATCGCTAGCTATGTCAGAGTTAGTCCCTGCCCCCTCGAACACAACACAGCCATCTTCCACAGCAGAAGGCTGGGCCGCCCAAATCCTAATACTGCACTGAGGAAGAAATACAGGGCCTTTAAAACTGAGCATTCTCCTTTAGAAATAAAAACTACAGGCTGCAGGAACCATTCCCTTCCCAAGTCGATTCCTATAAGCAAGTCCTTAAAACGTTAATTTGTCATAGTTAAACCATTCTCGATGATCGGATCCAGCCACCACCAGATCCATCCCGATTCACCAGAAGAGGAAGCTGAGTCCGAAGGCCAGATCGACCCTTCTGGATGAGAGAAGAACATGTATGAATGATGGATTAGGGAAGAAACAGATCTAGAAGTAAACCACCAAACAAACCTTTGGTATATTTAAGAAACCTACTTATTTTTCTAGCTAAAAACAATGTACAGGCAGCATATACGGGTTATGTGATCACAAAGTGATCAACAGGTAATGTACAGAGGTTCACAGACTAGATCAGCAAGACTAGACAAGCAAAGCTCAAGACAGACAGTGTCTTTACAAAAACGAACCACATAACAGTGGAAAGTAGCACCCTGAAAACACCAGAATTATGCTCAGGCAGCCGCATCTGATTAGAGCCTGAAGTAAGGGACAAACATGCCAAAGAAAGTCTGTGTCAAAATACACAAACACATCAGGGCAATCCCATGTCAATCACAAGAGAGGTCAGGCAGCTACGAAGGATCAGACCAGAAAGAAGGTGCTTGGACCAAGGACGAGCCCAGGCCCAGTAGCAGGTATGTTCCTGCTCTGGGACGGACGGACAATGCTTTGTGCCTTCAAAACCACCCTAAAAGTCTGACTTCATCAAACCAAAAGGCTTCTGCAAAGGGAAGGAAATCATCAACAAAATGAAAAGACAACTTACAGAATGGTAGAAAATATTGGCAAATTATATTTTGATAGGGGTCAATACCCCAAATCAATGAAGGACTCATACAACTCAACAGCACAAACAAACAAAACACCATCACCACTACCAAAAACAAAAATCCAATTAAAATGGGCAGAGGATCCAGTAGACATTTTTCCAAAGCAGATATACAGATGGACAACAGGTATGTGATAAGATGCTCAACATCACTAATCATCAGGGAAATGCAAATCAAAACCGCATTGAGATTATCACCTCACACCTGTTAAAATGACTGTCATCGATGAGACAAGAAGTAACAAGTGTTGGCCAGGATGTGGAAATAAGGGAACCCTTGTGCACTATTGGTGGGAATGTAAACTGGCGCAGCCACTGTGGAAAACAGTATGGAGGGTCCTTAAAAACTAAAAATAGAACTACCATATGACCCAGCAATTCCACTTCTGGGTGTACATCTAAAGGCAACGAAAACACTAACTTGAAAAGATTATCTGTACCCCCATGTCCAGTGCAGCTTTATTCACAATAGCCAAGATATGGAAACAACCTACGTGTCCACTGATGGATGAATGGATAAAGGAAATGTGGTAAGTATATACAATGGAATATTATCAGTCATAGAAAAGAAGAAAATCCTGCCATTTGCAAGAACATGGATGAACTTTGAGACCATCATGCTAAGTGAAATAAGTCAGAGAAAGACAAGTACTGCATGATCTCACTTATATGTGGAATCTGCAAAAACAAAACAAAACAAAAACAACCCCACAGATACAGAGAACAGACTGGCAGTTGCCAAAGGCGACTGGTGGGGGAGATGGGTGAAGAGGATCAAAGGTCAAAGTAAGTCCTGAGGATGTGATGCACAGCATGGCATGACTACAGTCATTAACACTATGTTATATATTTGAAAGTTGCCAAGAGAGTAGATGTCAAAAGTTCTCATCACAAGAAAAAAAAAACGGAAACCATGTGTAGTGATGGATATTAACTAGATTTATAGTGCTCATTCTGCAACATATACATATACTGAACCATTGTACTACACACCTGAAACTAATATATTACAGGTCAACTATAGCTCAATGAAAAAAAAAATTTTTTTTTCATTTTCAAAAAGCATCTAGATCACATAGCTCTCTTCTTCTGTTCTGATACTCTGCTCCCTAAACATTAGCTAGACACTGCGTCATCTTCCTGAAGATGATACAGTCTTTGAATCAACAGGGCTTACGCTAAATGCAGGTCAGACTCAAAAGCATCCAGTACCCCTTTAAGTGTATTTCTTGTAAACTAGTAAGTTGGCATTGCAGTTCACATATCCGTTAGCCTGGGGGTCCTGAGTCTGCATCCCTGGACCAAGCCTTGGGCACTGGAAAGCCTGTTTCTGAATCTGGGAGGCCTTCCCTGAATCCATTCTCTGCACCTCCATGCACCTTCCATTCAAAACTTTTACAAATGACTATTCTCCCAAAGTCGTTTTGGTAAAACAGAGTACTTTTAAAGTTATTCTTCTGCTTGCCTTCCCAATATGACCAGTAAGTAAGAGAAGACTTAGAAATTATCCTCCCCCATGGAGAAAAGAGGAGGAAAAACTCCAGTACGTACAGCTGAAGCAGTCTCTCTGCTTTCAGTCAGAGCTCTCTCCAGGTCACTCAGACTCTCTACTCTGGGGCTTCTCTTCTTGCCACTTGGCAAGGGCTCCTTTAACTTTCTCTGCTTCCTCTTCAATCCCAAAAGGCCAATATCACATCGAGGACACAGCACCTAATGTGGACAAAGCACCATCGCTGGTAAAATGGATTTCAGATGAAGCATTAGGAAGTCCCCAAATAAAAGCCTAAGGAGTGGGAAGGATGTGAGTTTCTTAGTATCTTCTGTGTAACATGCCTCCCTGAAGCCAGAAACTCTCTTCTACAAAGGAAGGAAGAAAGGAAGAGAGGGAGGAAAGAAAGAAGGAAATCTCACAAAAAGACAGACTTCGATTCCAGATTCAATCAAACAGTAAGTAAAAAAATGTGACATAGAACGATTCCAGTCATAATGTGTGACCAGCATCAGCTTACAAAAAAACACAAGAAGTGCAACTATAGCACTTTGAGAGGCGGATGAGATCTTTTATTGAGCTTGTTAAAAGCAAGTGGTGAAGCATGGCCAAGGTTAAACGTCCAATTTCAACAAACTGAGGGACTTCAAGGGGGAAAATTTCTTCCTTAGACAGTGAATGCTATCCCTAAACATATGCAGAAAACATTTTAAGATTCTTCTAAGTTTCAACTGAAAGTTTCAGTAGAAACTTAGAAGAATCTCCCTGGCTCCACTGAGAAAAGTAACTCCTAGAGCACAGATCAGTCAGTGATGCCACCTCTGTGCGGGAGGGACTACCTGTTTTGCCAGGCTAGGGGACCCAAGGTCTTGCAGGTGGGCTAACTGCAAACTTACCTCCAAGAGGGAATAGGACGAATTCTCAGTCAGGAACGTATTAGCAGCACATTCTTTCCAAACATGAACCTCAGCTACTAGTGACTCCAGTCTCGGTAAAGAATTCAGATGCACCGGGATAGATCGGCCTCGTGTAACAAGTTCTATCAGTGTGTCTAACACTGGCACACGTCCTCCAGCCTAATAAATCAAGGGGAAAAAAAATACTTCTATGTAAGTGGGAAAAGTACCATTCGGACCGGGCCTACCCCATGATTTCAACATATTAAATTCACGGACGGGTGCTGACAAAACCTGCCAGCTGGCCGATGGTGGTGGAGGTGGAGCAGTGTGGGTTCTTCCACTCGACAAGTAAGAACCTACTTTGTGCTGGGCCCATGGATACAACTTTGGACCTGGCATATACTGTGGTCCCTTTGTTCAGACTGTTTATGCCCTTGTCAATTCACTTGTCATTTTGGTCCCTATGGATGGTTTGAAAAAAATTCAGCAGAAATGTAAATTTGTAATAACTCAAAGGATTTCCACACTGACTTCGAGAAATAAAAGCAACAAAACAAATATTTTACTCCAATTCACTCACCAATGATGAATTACAGTAACTCAGTATAGATTATTGAGGAAACCAAAAATGAGTTGTGAAAGCCCACTGGCTCTCCAACTTTATTATTCATTAAGAATCATCAGGGGGCCTTCTATTTATTCTCACAGGATTGAAACTGTAAGGGCATAGGTATTCTGCTGGATGCGTAAAAAAGGGGACTCGCAAATTATATGCTATGCCTATGGTACTCCATTTAGAAACATATATGGAGTACTTCCTAAGTGAACAGCAGAATACTGGATGACATTTTAAAATAAATAATCCACTAAACACGAAGAGGTTCCTTGTTGTTGGTCACACCTCTCTACTAGTCCTTAAATATGTGACGCAAGGAAAGGCCAGGCTATTATTTCAGGAATGGAGCACAACTTGCTTTTTGTCCTTATGGACATTGTTGCAAACACAGTACTAAGTAGTACATACATTACAGCACGTGAAGGGAGCAAACCCACCCAGACATGTGTCCTTGCTTCTGATTTCATACGCTCACCTCTCCTCGTCGTCATGACCTCACCTTCTGGCTGCCAGCAACCATGAGTGGAAGGGGGGACCGTGACTGTACCCACTACAGTTCCAACAAATACAGATAAGAGCCTGCATCAAAAACCTCACTGGGGAAGTTTACGAACACAGCAAACACTTTCCTTGGTTTTTTCTTTGGCGGGCTGGGGTCACCCCTTAATTATGTAATATTTATCAAACAATGTATCTTCTCTTCCCTGTTAACAAGAATAGATGTCCAGATGTTTTGTTGAAAACATGTGGCTAAAACTGTCCTGTTTGGCATTTCTCATTAGCAATTGGTTAATTAGCACCACTTAAAATTACATAGATATTCAGAAGACCAGATGGTGTTTTATTCCTAGAATCTGATGGCTCCAACAAAACAGAACTTGAGCCTCAAGAACAATATAAATTAAAAATTTAAAAACCTATCCCATTAAATAATTCAAAGATCTTTTTTCTCAATAGGCCCGTAAGACCCACTGGTTTATGATCGATAGAGGGAAAAAGGAAGACACTCCCACCAACCACTTTTCAAATGAAGTTATGCAGCTGAAAATTGGGGAAAACATAGAACATATTCTGTCTATACCTTAATAATGTTACAAGTGAATTTAATTTTCTATTTTAACTTATAAGTAAGTCTTAGCAAGGACAACATCTAGCACAGGGGCACAGATACTCAGTGCTGATTACTTTGGACAGTTACTTTAGAACGTGCTCATCTCACTGCTTTTGTAGGTATGCAGCACATTTAAGTCACTACTTGGTGAAAGTCCTGGGCCTGAGGGCCTAGTTTGGCCATGTAATCACGTATCAAGACTCACTGAATCTGCTACTCTTCATTATGTAAACTCCAAGTAGTTGGCAAGCCGGCAAGAGATAGCTGTACTCGTCAGACGTTAGAAACTGTGTTTCTCCCACAACTTCATTTCTAGCTCTTTTTCTTCAACCCCAACCAAGTAATTAAGTCTGTTATGCGAGGGTCCCAAGCTCCCAGAAAAGGTTGTTTAAATTACCTAAGCTTTAAATACTGAGTCAACTAGTCAGGACAGCAGATGGGGTGGGTTAAGTGCATCCACACAAGGTTGAAGAGAATCAGTAATCTGGCCACAACCCCAACACCGAACCTGTGTAGTGAGATCCAACATATTCCCCTTTGCAAGTGTTTACATTACTGCTCTTTATAGACGCACTTACACACACGGGACATTTTGTAAACCTACCTGCAGGGCCTCTACGTCCTGAAGCCAGTCTCTGGCTCTCTGCACAGTGTCTTTCAGAGCCGCACCATTGGGCAGGTACGCGGGGACAGGATTGGTGAGGTTTGGTAAGCAAAGGCAAAGCCTTTGAAGTCATACTGCATCGTATCAATTCCATGGGGCCCAACTCCCCAGGTTTAATGGATTCTTCCTTCCGCTAAAACATTCAAGGGAAACCCAGAGTATGGTCCACCGTGTGATCTGGTGGCACAGTGGTTAAGAATCTACCTGCCAATGCAGGGGACATGGGTTCGAGCCCTGGCCTGGGAAGATCCCACATGCTGCGGAGCAACAAAGCCCCTGCGCCACAACTACTGAACCTGTGCTCTAGAGCCCACAAGCCACAACTACTGAGACTGCACGCCACAGCTACGGAAGCCCGTGCGCCTAGAGCCCATGCTTTGCAACAAGAGAAGCCACTGCAATGAGAAGCCCGCACACCGCAACGAAGAATAGCCCCCGCTTGCCACAAAAAAGGAAAATCAGTTCAAAGGAAATTCAGAATAGCAAATAACTCAGTGAAGCGTTTAATAAGCGTTTACTTATTTCTGATTTGACATTGGAATAACCATAAACTTCCACTTGCAAAAGATAACTCAGGGATAATTTACATTATGTTAAACTACTAGATACGCTATCAAGACTCATACAGCTTCACTAATTAAAAATCTCCAGGATATCAACATACCAAAAGCACAGAACCCAAAACTTTTGTACTCTCTGCTCAATGACCACTATTTTAGGATTACAAAATAATGTGTGGAACCTAGGTATTTCTTGTACTTTATGTTGTCAGTTGGAACAGTAAAGATCTGTCAGACAGAAGCAAGAATAGGGAGGGAATCATCTTCTCCCCTCGGACGGTTAGCTTGAATCCAACCCATCTCTCGAGTATAGATAAGGTCACAAAGCAACAGCACTAATGTGGAGAATTACGGCACCATTTTCATCTTAAAGACAGTGCACACTGACTCTCAGATGTTTCTCTTTAAGACTCCTTGGGATCTTTTTCATTAACTGTGGGTTTAAACAGTTCCACTTATTTCTAAGTGTTTTCTTCTCTCAAAGATGTGATCCTCGAGGTCCAGGGATATTTCATTAAACCAACTCTAGAAAAGGTATTTCCATTTGAACCATTCATTTCACAATCGGTTACGCAAGGAAAGAAATTAATATTCTTTTGCCCAAGCTCCAAAGCAGCTCCGAACAGCTCAGCTGTTTCTGCACACACAGCTCAGCTACTGTGCCCACGTGCCGCCCTACTCCCCATGCCCCGTGCTCCCGGACGTGCTTGTTTACCTGGCCTTAAGGAGACTCCTGGCTTTGTCATCCCAGTGCTCAGATACCGTGAGCAGTTCTTGAAGCCGTGCCATAGCCTTCTCCACAGCTGAATATGGCGCCAGACCCACCCCCAGGTCTATGAGACGTCTCATATCATCTAAGGTGAGGGAGCTGGGGTCTAGGCAAGCCTGCTGCACCTCCTCCAGCCAATGGGCCTGCTCCAGCCGGACACGCATCTCAGCAAGCTGGGGCAGTTCGACATCAAATTCAAAGCTGACGTCTAGCAAGCCTTGCAGCTCAGCGGCACTGGGCATCTCTTCAGAGAGCAGTTTCTGGCTATGCTGTTGGAAATCTTCTACACGATTCAAGAGGTCCTTAAAAAACACAGGTTGTTGCATCAAAACAATATTTTTAGTAACTGGCTTCTTGAAAACTCAGAATCTTCAGTGCATATTCAACATGACCCTCTGCCATTTCACTTGATTCACTTGATTAGCAACAATACAGGTAAACAAGGTAATAAATACATAAGCCAACTGACAGTTACACAAGTGACTCTAAGAGAGACCTGTACCAACTGTAGCAGCTGGTGGTCACTGTGAAAGGTAAAAATTCCCAACCTTCTCTCTCCTCCACAGGCCTGTTACAATCTCTTTATACACACGTACCACTCAACGGGTTACTAAAAGCACTTGCAAATAAATGTACAAATTAACCACAGGGGAAGACAACTTGATCATGTGACCTGGGCTTGTGTAAAAAACACAGGAAGGCGGACACTCCCACCTCCCCATCCAGGTACCTTCAGCAGTGGCGTCTGACTGAGGACACAGGGCAGGGCGTGCAGCTGGCTCACGAACTGTCGGAGCTCATTCACTGTCAACTGATTGTGGGATTTCCCTCCACCAGATCGATACCTAGACAGACAAAGGCCCAAGGAGACTGCATGAGAGCAGGTACCCCACCAGCCCCAGACTCCAACGTCATGGGTAAAACCAGCCACAACAGGCTGCCGAAGAGCCCAAGCCAGGGCGTGCACAGTGCCCACCTCGTCTGCCTCTTGCCGTTAAGCAGCTGCTGGGCGACAGAGGCACATTTCTCCGCGTCCTGTGTCACTAACCGGAGGTGACGTAAAAGATCGTTGTCCGGGAATTTCTTCATCTCAGATTCCTCGATCAAAGCCTTAAAGCTGACAAGGCCTAGGAATAAAGAAAAGATCACCTTTTCTGTGATCATTATGTATGAAATACTGGTATGAAATACAGAGGGGGAGGTTCGATTTGATCAGTTCTTACCTATGGATATTTGCAATGTTTTACCTCTTTAATAAATTTGGTTTTTTTTGTTTTTTTTTTTTTGGCTGAGAGTGGACTACTTTAAAAAGTGCCTAGAGCTGCCCTTCAATGTGGAAATGTTTAAGAAACAAAGAACCCCTGCCTTGTCAAAACAGAGCAAATGCAGTTCTTCTTGTGGCTGGAACCACCTTTTCCTCCTGCATTTTACTCTGCACCTGGCAGTGAACTGGTGGGCTCAGAGACAGTGACCTGCACCCGCCCCTAAACAGGAGAGGGAAGAGTCACCTGCTGAGCGACAGAAAGGAAAGCAAATGAAAACGCTTCGAAGGGAAGCAGTAACTTTCAAATGTAATAACAAGAGACAGAGACTTTGACTAGAACTAAGAAGTAATAAACCAGCATTTCACAGACTCTTAATGATATGTCTTTGTCCTGAGATCTAGTTCAAAAACAACAAGCAAAACAAACAAAAACCTTTTCTAAAGGTCCATATAAAATGTGAAATACTTTTATTTCTGAGACAAACAGGTGTAAAGGTTATTTGGTAACAATACGATGTTTGTTAAATACACGATCCTGCACAACTCATATATCAAGACTTCACTTTGATGTAAGGACATATGCCTCATTCACTCTTGGCTTTAAAACCTCTGCTAAAGCTCCAAACCTGGCTGGACAGATGGGCTAAGTCAGGCTGCTTCAAGTAATCCATTTGCTGATAACTTTAAGTTGGCTATGTTACAATCAGTCCCAATTTGCCAATCACTAAGTCACACTTTCTATATACCACGTACTTTTCTTCTTATTAATCTTCGCCTCCAAAGCTTCGTTCACATTCAAGGCCCATTCGTTGTAAGATTCTGCTCGAAGCTTCAGTGCATTCATCATGGGGTAGAGATCATCCAGAGTGTATCTATACCTGGACACAGAATAGCAGGCTTAGCTCTGAGATATGTGGGTTTGGAGGAAATCAGATGTTTTATACTAAGGATTTAGTGTTTTCCATAGAAAAAAAATCATTCTTCCTACTCACCGCAGTTTATATTTATAAGGAGGACAGGAACATAATTCCTTTACATGATGCAGGCAAACAAGCAGGCCAGGTTTACAAGAACAGGAGATGGCAGACATGAAGCATGTGGTTTTGCATTTTACACACTGACGCTCATCATCTGGCAACAGCTCAAAATCCATTCTTTCTGAATCAATTACTCCCTAGAATAAAATGTATACTTTAGAGATCTCCAAAGGATAATACAATCCATCAGCCCCCAAGACAAACATGTAATAGTTGAGTTTAAATTTAAAAAAAAAATTAAAAGAGCCTTACCAAACTAGAGAGTAGAGAGTGCGTGATTAAAAATGTGTGAGGGAATTCCCTGGTGGCGCAGTGGTTAAGAATCCGCCTGCCAATGCAGGGGACACGGGTTCGTCCCTGGTCCGGGAAGATCCCACATGCTGCGGAGCAACTAAGTCCAGGAGCCACAACTACTGAGCCTGCGAGCCACAACTACTGAAGCCCGCACGCCTAAGAGCCCGTGCTCCGCAACAAGAGAAGCCACCGCAATGAGAAGTACACGCACCACAACGAACAGTAGCTCCCACTCGCCGCAACTAGAGAAAAGCCTGCGCACAGCAACGAAGACTCAACGCAGCCAAAAATAAATAAATAAAATTTTAAAAATGTGTGTGGACCTAGCAAATGTGGGCAAGTTAATCTATTTCATCCATCTAGGAAGAACCCCTTCTGGACATGGTAGGTCCTTATGTTTGGCCATTTTGATCTGAGTATGAGAACAGTTATTAACAGGCCCATAAAACTACGGAGATTAGCTGTTTATTCTACTCGAAATTGGCCTTGTCCATACTTTGGGTCTAGATAAGAGCAAAAGAAATGCATATACTTTCTACTACAGCGGACATGCTATACAGGGCTCCAGAGTAATGTTGCTGGAGAATCCACAAATACAAATGAAAGGAAAGAAGATGGGGCAGGTGAAAAAGACTCCCGTGCTGGAACTGTCAATGTGAAGACGCTAAGTGGTCTATTAGCCTCTTATATGGAAAGTTCTTGGAAAAGGTTCGACAATCTGTGCAACAGAGACTGTAATCGTAACAAGGAATTTCCCAATTGATACTGTCAAGATAAATGAGGTCTTGAACCAGGAAGTTTCTTTTTTTTTTTTTTTTTTTGCAGTACGCGGGCCTCTCACTGTTGTGGCCTCTCCTGTTGCGGAGCACAGGCTCTGGACACGCAGGCTCAGCGGCCATGGCTCACGGGACCAGCCGCTCTGTGGCGTGTGGGATCCTCCCGGACCAGGGTATGAACCCGCGTCCCCTGCATTGGCAGGCGGACTCTCAACCACTGTGCCACCAGCGAAGCCCGAACCAGGAAGTTTCTACTGTAGTTTGTACCACCTGACATCTAGCCCTTCTAGGATATACCTTTTGTTATGGAAAATTCGAACTTGTACCACTTTCTCTCCTTATCTGGAACTCGATCCAGATCTAACTTTGAGAATGCCAGAGTCTGATTAAGTCAGTTTATAAACCATCAAGGCTCCTTTGTTTTACTCTTTTATTCTGTATTTCAACCTTTTGACCATTTCACTTCCTGCTAATCAGGAAAGTAAGGAAAACCTAACAAAAGAATTTTGGTTTTAATCTGGAATTAGTCGTTAAAAAGGACTTTGTGATGAGATGGCTAAAATTTTGTTTGAAGATTAAGGATCAACTCCATGGATTTTGGTTGAGAATGAATCATATTAGTTCACCCAGTTTTTTTTTTTTTTTTTTCATAACGCGGGCCTCTCTCTGTTGTGGCCTCTCCCGTTGTGGAGCACAGGCTCCGGACGCGCAGGCTCAGCGGCCATGGCTCATGGGCCTAGCTGCTCCGCGGCATGTGGGATCTTCCCGGACCAGG